GAGAGTGCATTTTCTACCTCCCCCCTTATCTCTGCAGAATGTCTGCAGGAGATGCTACCAAGGCAACCTTGTCTCCATTCACAACTTCAATTTCAACTATCGTGTTCATTGTTTGGCCAGTAAGATAAACCAGGCCCAGATCTGGATTGGAGGCGTCCTCAGGGGCTGGGTAAGTCTGGGGCCAACTACTCAGTACAGAAAATTATTTTTGATTGTTTTAAAGGAGCACCTGCTGGGGCCAAGCGTTAACCTAGCAGAGATAGGGTTTCCATAGAGGGGTAAGCAAACAAGTGCCAGAGCTGGCTTGTGCTGTTAGGAGAGAACAAATTACACACATCTCAGAGCTCTAACTCCATGCTGGTAGCTTAAAATCAGACATGGTATCCTTTACACCAAGGATATTGGCAGTTGTTATATGTCCATCAGTCTTCATTACCCCAATAAAATGTCTGTGAGAATCAACTTTTAAGGAAGAAGGTTTATTTTGGCTCACTGTTTCAATCCACGGTCATTTGGACCGGTGGCAGCACAGAATATTGTGGCAGCAGTGTATGGCAGAGGAGATGTGTTCACCTCATCGAAGCAGGAAAGAAAAGAAGAGAGGAATGGGCCAAGGTCCCCAAATCCCCTTCAAGAGCACACCCCCATTGACCTAACTGCTTCCCTGCCTTATTTTTGTTTGTTTTGGGGGGTACCGGGGATTGAACCCAATAGTGAACTGCCTTTGGGCTACATCCCCAACCTTTTTTTTAATTTTTATTTTGAGTAAGTTGCCCAGGCTGGCCTCAACTTGTGATCCTTCTGCCTCAGCCTCCTGTGTCACTGGGACTCATCCCAGCACTTGGCTTAGGCCCCGCCTCTTAAAAGTGCCACCATCTTCCAATCACACTATGGGCTGGTGATCAAACCACAAGCACATGGGCCTTTGTGGGACATTTCAGATCCCAAAATATCATGTTATACATCAGGGCTCCTTCCTACTTCCCATTTTCTCACCTTTCCCCAGAGCTGGTTTCAAAAACATTTATCAGTATAACACTCAAGTCATGAGACAGATTCTAGGTTCAGGTTGGTCACTTACTAACTGAAGAGCTTTAGGAATCCTAAGCGTCTTCATTTCTACAATAGGGATCTTCTTATCTTGGGGTGGCTCTGAGACTGTGGATGAATAAATGCCATTATATTTGGTACTCGAGGTGTGGTCCTTGGGCCAGCAGTATCAGCATCACCTGGTAGCTTGTTAAATATGCAGAATCTTGGGCCCAACCCCAGGTCTCCTGAATCAGAAGCTGCATGTTAGCAAGATCCTCCAGTGTGGTTGGAGAAGTCTGCTCTGTGGGATGGCTGGGACAAATGGTTGCCATTGCCCACAAAGCTTCAGGAATGGGTTGCAAGGGTATCTGGCTCCTGGCCAGGCAGGCAGAGAGGGAAGGCAGCAGTAGCTATCTCTGAGTACCTGGATCTGCCTTCCTAGACCTCTGCCCTCTGATCTGCCTTATCTTTTCTCCAGTTCCTGTTGAAGAAGTTTTGCTGGACTGATGGAAGCTCCTGGAATTTTGCATATTGGGCCTCAGGGCAACCTGGGTGTTCAGGAGGCCACTGTGTGACCCTATGTACTGGAGGTGAGGGGAATGGGCCCCTGGGGAAGGAGAAGGGGGTGACAAAGTGGATTCTCAGAAGCTATCCCTTTGAGCTGCCTGGACACATCTCCTTAAGCTCACATCCAACCCCAACTTGTGAGTTATCACTTGTCTGTGAGAAAAGCTGAGATACAGGGATCCCTTGAATAAAACCAGGTGGCAGGGGTCCTCTAGGTATGAGGGAGTTGGCTAGGGGTCCTTAACCTCCTCTGATAAGAGGGTGACAGATTCAAGTGGTCAATGTGAAAATGAGAGCGACACATGGATATCAGGTGTGAATGAAGGAGAAGGCCGGGTGTGGTAATTAGAGATGGCTGAGAGACAAGATGCCAGCTTCAAACAGCAGATGTGGGCAACAGCATGCGCGGCAGATGTGAGGGAGTCTAGTTAGTGGCTAAGACCATATGTGCTAGAGCAAGAGGGCTAGGAGTCACATTCCAGCTCTGCCACTTGCCAGGCAAGTTACAGGCAAGTTATTGATCTCCACCAAGCCTCAGTCTCCTCTTTGTGGGACAAGGATCATGACAGCACCTGCCTCTTGGAGTTGAGGTGAGGACAGAAGGTGACAGTCGGCGGAAAGCACTTAGCACATAGCCCAGGTCATGGTATGGCTTGGTAAGTGTAAGTTAGTGTGTCCAACGCCCAATGAGATGGCTGCGGAAGGGACAACCGAGGTACCTTAGGAGGGAAGGGGTGGGGCGTAGGCCAGACCCGGAGAGGCCGCTGACATCACCTTGCTCTCTACTTCCAGATGGCCGCTGGCGACGAGCTCCGTGCCATAGGCAGCTGCCCTTCGTCTGCTCCTTCTGAGCCAGTGGCGCAGTGAACCAGCCTTGGAGCCTCAGGCCTCTGGCTGCCCCTGCCCCGCTCTCCGCCCTGGACTCTGCCCCCAGCCCGTCCTGGCCATAAATCCACACTTCTCACAGCATTCCCTGGGTCTTTTTTCTTCATGGCTCTTTCTGGGGGCTCCCCCGCTTGGGAAAGTCCTGGAAGCCTTCCCCTCTGCGGGGAAGTGAAAGATGGCGGCGCCGGGCGGCCGGCGGCGGTGCGGAGCTGCTGCGCGGCAGCGCCACCTGGAGGCGGAGCGGGGGCCAGGCGCGCCCTGGGCCGGCTTTGCCTCTCCGCACCCGCTCACCGCGGCGGGCAGGTCGCCTTCGGTGCCCGGTGGGGAGCCCGCCTTGCACGGATTCAGTGTGAGCTGCGGAGCGGGGCGGCTTTCCAAAATGCAGGTGAAGATCCCATTTGGGGGACGCCACTTGGGAGAAAGTACCTTGTCTTGGGGCAGCCCGCTCCTGGTCCAGCCCTGTGCTCTTTGGCCTCTGAGAATGACTCCCATTTCCAGTTCTTGCAGCCATCTCTGTTCATAAGCCAGCAGAGAGAAAGTCGTACCTCCTCCATGTCCGCCTACCTCTGCAGAGGGGCCCGTCTTAGGAAGAAGCTGCCTCCCGCCGGCCAGGGCCTTGCAGCCCGAGGCAAGATGTCTGCTGGCAGCTCGGTTCCCATTCCCCGTTCTGTACAGCCCCGGGCCTCTCTCCTTCACCCACTTTCTCAGAAAAAAAGACCCTGGGGACTTGGCGAGAGAACACTATCCTTGGCCTTAACTTTGTGCCAGCTGGGGCATTGGGCTCCAAGAGGGATTTAGAGTTCACGAAGCAGGAAGTTTAGAGCTGAGACTGGGTGTTAAGAGGGTAGAGTTGTGTGTGAGAGAGGGAGGGAGAGAGAAAGGTGTTGGGAGGGGGGGGCATGTAGGAGTATTTCTATGTGCGCCCATGTACATGTGCATGTATCTATTTTGGTATCTATTTGAGGTATTCTTTATATACATGCGTATCTGTATGTAAAAACCTATATATGTGAATGTGCATAAATGTGCATGTGTTTGTGTGTTGAGTGCACATCCTTTTATACCTCTATGTATTTATGAGTGTATCTGTACGTGTGTGCCTATGAATGTTTATATCTGTGTAACTTTGTGTCCTTACATGCTTGAATCTCTATGTGTATTATATATGTGTATGCGTATCTGTGTGTTTGATCAGTGAGTGTGTGTGTGTTCATGTGTCAGTGTGTACCTGGCCCAGATAGCCAGTGTGTACACATAGATCTGTATTTGCATCTTGATGGGATGTGGCTTTAGGGTTCATTTTTTTCTAAATGTACTGTTTCCCAGCGAGCTGGAGTTGAGAGAAGAGGACAGGGGTCAGCCCTGGGGTATGGGTGGTGGAGAAACAACAGGGATGAGTCCTTTGAACATGGGCAGGTCTCCGGATGCAGGTGAATAGGCCTTGGTATGGCCATGAACCTCACTGATCCTGGCTTTCAGGAACTTGAGGTGAAAAGACCTGTCCTCAGTAGAAGTGTTCATCCCTCCACCTTGGATGGAGATCGGGTCAGCCAGCTTCTAATCCCAGCATGTCAGGTTCTGGGATTAGAAGCTGTCATTCTCCTCAAAGTATGGAAAGGGAGCTGCCTGGGGGGGAGGGCCTCATGTGTTGAACACTGCAATAAGCCAATGCTTGATGCTGTGCTTCTAAAAGGAATAGTGGAATCCAACTCCAGGGAGAGGGAAGGGGAGCTCTACCTAGGTAGTTATGGGAATGGTATTTCAGTTGAATGCCAAGTCCCCTTTCATCAACCTCCACATCCCTCCCTTGTGGCAAATAGCCTCTAGCCAAAGCCAGTAGCCCAATATCTTGACCAGAGATAGAGGCAGGGAGGAGAAAGAAAGAGGGAGGCCAGAATCCTCTCAGGCTGAAGCTTCCTTGGGGCAGGCCAGAGTAGGTTCCTCAAATCTGATGCTGTGTATTATTGGGTCTCTACTTCAACTTTTATATATTGGTTCATTTTGGCTGTTTAAGATCTTCTGGTTTTGAATAGCTCTTGATTAAGAAGCAAATGCTCTTGAGAGAAGAAATTCCCTAGAAAGTTAACTACTAATTCCTCTGGGAGACTGATTGACAAATTGCTGAGAACAAAGCTTTTTTAGGAAAAAACACACAAGGGAAGGAGGTGAGGAACTGTCAGTGGGTATAGTGGCCATGGTGGGTGGGGAGGGAAATATTACAAAAGAGAAGACAGTGCTGTGGTCACAGTTTTCTCTTCCTCGAGACCCAAGAAGACTGTATTTCCTAGTATTCCTTGCACTAAAATCGGGTCTGCAGACTGCTACTGAATCTAGCTAGTAGGATATGGTGAGAAGTAGGCCACTTTCAGGCCTGGTATCTAAATGATTCCCATGATCCACCAGCTCCCACTTTTCCTGTCGCAGTGACCTGGGAGCCCATGTGTCTCTGATGGCATAGCTACCAGATGGAAGAGGTTGTCTGACCTACTTTGTTTGATTAAACCTTGAGCTTTTACTTGTGACCGAAGCAAAATCTATTTAAGCCCAAGACATATAGAAAAGAAGGTGTCAACAAATTTCTTGATCTTTTTCCCAGATAGACCACAGGAGTCAAGATCCTAGGCTCCAGAATCACAGATTGCTGGGGTTCAAGTACCAGTTTTCTCATTTCCACCTCTCCATTTTAGTCAGCCTCAATTTCTTCTTCTGTAAAACGAGGGTTGAATTAGGCATTGCCTGTCACACATTTAGCCCTTGCTTGCCAATGGGTGAGCATCAAAAAATGCTAGTTTTCATGCTGAGTAATTAAAGCAGCAATGTAGTGTTAGGCGTGAGCATGGTTTTCCAGCTCGAATTTCCACCTACTGTCAATTTGTTTTTCTATCAAACAGGATTAATAACAAACCATAGCAACCTCACCAGGGTTGGCGTGAAGGTCCATGTGATTGTGTTGGTGATTGTGCGGAGCAAACCACGACGTGACAGAGACAAGTTAGCTGTTGTCATTAGTACTGATATTAGCGCTACGTCTAGCACATAGAAGTGGTACTGGGTTCAGATATGAGGAGGACAGCACCAGGCTCACATACACTTACTGGCAAGCTCAGGAGGGGCTGAGGCACCTGCAGGAGGATCACCCCAGTCTGGGGGAAAGGGAGGAGCTGGGGGAAAGGGTCCCTCTGCAGGACACAGCTGCCTCCATCTCCTTCTTAGCATCCCTGTGAGTCCAGCCTCAGACTCAGTCTCTCTGAGTCTCAGTTTGTCTTCCTGAGAGCTGGATTCACCAGGGCTGCCTGTGGGACTCCTGGCTGGAGGGCGTGCCATGGCCTTCTCTGATGTCTCTGCTGGAGAAATGAAGTTTGGTCAGGTCTCCCAACACTGCCCAGTTCCTGAGGCTGGCCCTGGGGTGATGTCACCCACCACCCTGAGAAGGGGACTGTGAGTGAGGGCAGAGCTATGGGCCTCAGGTGAGGGAGTATTGCCCCTTCTCCCCCTGAGATGGGAGATCACTGGGGTTGGGCTTTTGCAAATGCACCCAGTGTGAACCTCCCAAACTGCTCACAGACCTGCCCCCGCCTCATTTCCCTGCACCTTCTAGTGAGGGGCCAGCCCCCCATCTATCATTCAGCTCATTTTTGCTGAGACCTTATGATCATGTCCACACTCCAGCTTTTCCAGATGCAGATTTACCAGGAATCCCAGGAAACTCACACCCCAGCGTCCTTGCTTGCATAAGCTTCTTCTAATTCCTAATTTTATATCAGTTTTAAGAAGATGCTTCTAAATTGTATACGGTGTGGGATTCCTAATGGCTGGGTCTGCACTGAACTCTGTCCTGGTGTGTTTGGGGGCCTCTCAGTGTATGAAAGCCCAGAAGGGAGGCAGTGGGACATATGGGCCAATGGAGCCAGGGTGACGCTCTTTCCAGCTTCCTCCTCCTCCTCGGAGCAGCAGGACACCTGGCTTCTCTCTTGGCCACTAACTCTGTGGACCTGGACCAGTTTTTTTCTCTTTCTGGCCTTAGTTTGCTCATCTGTAAGGAACAAATTGGGACAAGATGGTTTCTGAGGCCCCTCTAGGTTCTACCTTAGAAGACTACCATCTTAGGACAGGACAGGCTACCTGGCTGAGCAGCTCACAGCACATTGGGTCCCACTGCAGCTTTTTCGTTGACATTTTAAGTAAAGATTGCTGAGCTGCTGGGACAGGGCCCAACTGCAAACACAGAATCACCTCCCCCCACGGCGTGGCCTGATCTGGCTCCCGGAGTGGTTTGGGGACTGAGCTGTGGGACAGTCATGCCTCCTATTTCCTTCTGAACTAGGAACCCACCCAAGTGAGAGATGAGACCCACTGTCTCAGCAGGCTCCCCTACAGTGGGGCCTGAGTTCCTGGGAAAGCTTGGGGTTACTCTTTATTAACCTAATCATGGTCAGAGACGGGCAGCTGTTCCAGTAAGGGACTTCCTTCTTCTCTTGTGGGTGTGGGCAAAGGAGTTGGTCAGACCTGGGTTCAAATCCCAGTTCTCTCACTTCCTGGCCGTGTGGCCTGGTACCATTGGCTCAGTCTCTCTAAGTCTCAGTTTGTCTTCAAAACAGGGAAATGAGTATTTGCCTTAGAGGATTATCTGAGGATTAAATGAGACAGTGTGTGTGGAAGTGCCTGGCACTTGGTAGGTCCTTGTGGGCACCCGTCATGTCATTACTATTAGTATCTCTACTCTTTGGAAGGGGGCAGCTTAGGTGCTGCAGTCCCGGGGTCCTGGGAAGCAGATGGGGGCATGCAGAGGGTGAAGGTGAACTGAGGTTGTAGGGGGAGCACTACCAGTCTGCAGGAGCACGGGAGGCCCAGTCCCCTGGCTCCCAGCCGTGGCCCCATGGGCTGGGCCACAGAAGTTAGAGCCCTTATTCTCCCCCACCCCCTTGCCAGTGGGGCTCCCTGTTGGGAGGCCTGGAGCCCGTGGGTGAGCGTGGGGCATCAGTGGCCAATGGAGTAAGCCCCTGAGTCCGTGGACTGCTTCTCCTCTGTGGCCTGGTCCCTGGAGAACTCTGGGTTGGCGATCTTCAGTGTAGCTTCGTTCACCTGCAGGCAGAAGGACTGACATTGTTTTGCTGTGACAGGGCAAGATCCCATTGAAGCCAGATTTAAAGATAGGTAGTTAGTGCAGTTAGGTAAATCAGGTCTGACATCAAGTAAAATCGAAAATGAAGACTGAGTTGAGAATGGAGTCCAGGAAAAGCAGAACAACTCTTGGAATGTTAAGGCCCAGAGCCCATCCCCCTCCCAAAAGCTAATGAAACAGCTCCCAGCAAAGATGGAGATGCTAATCCAGAAGTCCTTCCTGCCCAGATTACTCCTTTGGCCCACCTGTGCCCCACCCTTTGGGCCTTCCCACCTACATTCCATCACTGAAAGTTAACAGAACAAAGGACAGGAATGCGGGAAAGCTGAAGAAGACGAAGACCTTAGCTATAAAAGGGGGAAGACATCGCCCTTCTACGGATTCCACCTCTTGGGTCCTCTTCCTCCTCCGGGGAGAAGTCTTTTCTGCTGTCCTTTAATAAAGCTTCTACTTTCCACTCTAAACTTGCCTCCGTGTGCTTCTCTGGTGTTATACTTTAACATTGGAGAAGCAAGGACCCGTCACTGGTCAACAACAGTAACACCGTCAGACAGAACAGGTGGTTCGGGGCCATGGCCTGGTCATTAGGGGAGTTACACAAGCCTATGTGATCCCAAGACTCTTCCCATGTACTCCAGGGACAAAGAAGAACCTGACACATCCCAAGGAAGGATGTGTCCCCCTGTATAAATGGGGAGGGGACAATGAGTGGGTGGGGACTTGCTGACAGTGATGACTCACAGAACTCCAAAGCTCTTGGAAGAGTCCTCTCACCCACATGTTCTCTTGTCTGGACGTTCAATATTTATTGAGGCCCGTTGAACTTCCTTCCAGGGAACCCCGAGAGGTGAGTCACCAGGGCCCTCCACGTGTCACCCCCACCCCACTCACCTCTTCAAACTTCTTGGCTTTGTACTGGTCGGCCCCCTTGAGGAAATTGAGCAGGATGATGTCACAGAGGACTGTCCCCTGGAGGAGGAGAGGCAGGGCAGGCTCAGAGAGGTGGCCCTGGGAGGGGTGGGATCAGGGAGGCTGGAAGCCATGGGTTCAAGTGGCTACTGAGCTGCCCCCAGACAGACAGAGGGTCAGGCGTGCGGGCGATTCCTCCAGAGAGGTTGGACTGATGACTCCTCTAACAAATGCCCAGGGCCTTTGCAGGTGTTGTCATGGCCACCTTCCTGGCCCCTTACCACGCACTGGGCTTGGAGAGAGGAATGAAGGACCCCCAGTCTGTGGGAGCAGGGCTCTGACGCCACCTTGCTCTGGAGTCTCCTCCCCACCTTCACGGTGAGAACCAGAAACTCTGTAAGATGTGGAACTTGCTGGAAGGCAACTCGGGGATAAGCAGCTCGGTGGGAATGCTGGAGGACTGTCAACCCAGGGCCTTACCTTCCAGCCCAGGTAGGGCTCGCCTTGGCCACGCCCCCTCCCCTGGCCCCACCCCTTCCTGGGCCCCACCCGGGCTGTCCCGTCTGACCCCCCCAGAGGCTGAACTCACCACTCCCACTGAAGTAAAGGCCGCCACGGAGCTGATGATGGTGGGGATGATGTTGAACTTGCCGGCCTGTGTGCGCAAAAATGGGGGAGTAGGCGGAGGGCCGGAACACGGCTGGAAACTGAGGCTGAACGCGGTCTCCCAGCCAGAGACTGGCCATAGAGCAACGGCGGGGCCCACCCCTTCATGGTACAGGTGAGGGGACGGGAGATGTGACCGCGGGTCAGCCCCTGCAGGGCCCAGCAGCTGGCCTGGGATGCCCCTCCTGCTGTCCACACGCCGGGCCCCAGGACTCACGTTCCCGTACACCAGCACGTCGAAGCGGATGCCGAAAGCCTTCAGGAGCGTGCGGTACTCGCTGCCATTCTCCATCTTGTAGTACTTGGCAAACCTGGAGGCCAGGGGCGAAAGTGGGTCCCACTGCGGGATCCTTTCTCTCCTATCCGAGCCCTCAGGGTCCCTAGAGGACCCATGACCCTCAACAAAGCAGCCCTTACTGATGGTTTGGTGAGACACTTGCCACCGTCCTCCCTGGGTGGGTACCTGACCACTTACACAGGCTTCCTCGCGGGAACTTAAGAGCAGCTTCCTGGGTCACACCATGAACCCACAGGGTTAACATCTCTGTTGGTCTGATGTCCTATGTGTACACAAGCTTGAGACCCTGCTCGACTCTGGGCTTCTTCAATGCTACTCATTTGGGATCCAGGGTCCAGCTCACTGCAGGTGCTCCTGCCTCTGCTGCCTTCTCAACCTGGCTCTCTCACCTACCAGCTGTGCAGCCTTGGGCTAATTATTTAACCTCTCTGAAACTCAGTTTCCTCATTGGCATGTGGGGACAATACAAAAATCTTGCTTCACAGGGTTGCTATGTGAATTGAATGAAACCACATGTTAGGGGTTTAGAACAGTCCTGGGACAAAATAAGCACTCAGCAAATATTTGCTGATGTTGACTGTTGTTATTTGCTCAAGAAATATGTTTACATTTATAGACTGGTGGGAAAAAAAGTGCTTCCAGCCACCTCATCTCCTCTCATCCCTGCCCGGTCCTATGCAACAGGGAAGTGAATGTTCTTTTGCAAAGAAGACTCTGAGAGGTGAAGTCACTTGTTCAGGGTCACCCAACTGGTGAGAATCAATGCTGTCTTCGTCCAAGTCTGAGACCGTCTGGTACCTTGGCCAAGACTATTCTCTATCTTGAGTGCTGGGTGCCATGAACTGTGCTGAGGATTTGAGAATAACCACGTTTAATTCCCTCCACAGACAGCATGGGCATTACACACAGAAGGGACAGTCCATACTCCCATCTGCAGAAGGCTGTGGTGAGGAGGGGCCTTGCCTGTAGTTTCAATTAGTAAGCCCCGGATTTGGGATTTTATGGCATTAGTCATTTGGCTTTTAAATCTAGAGCACTTGACCCTGCATGACTGCCCAGCATAGCCCAAATGCTAACATTAGTGCACGCTAATCTCTTTGGGTTACTGTCCCACAGCTGAACAATGGGTTCCGGATGTCAGTCTCCTTGAAAGTGGTGAGGATTAAGTGAGATGACCAGAATGAAAAAGCCCAGAAAGTTCTGCAAATGTTGGGGTCAACACAGCTCTTATTTAGTGCTGGATGTCTCCCTCTGAGTGTTCCCAGCCCCCAGAGATTCACAGGCCTCTCCCAGCAGAAAGAAGGAGGTGAGAACTCATTCCCTGGAAGTTTTCAATGAATGACCATACACGGTGGTGCATGCCTGTTATCCCAGCTACTCAGGAGGCTGAGGCAGGAGGATTCCAAGTTGGAGGCCAGCCTCAGTTACTTAGATCCTGTCTCAGAATAAAATATAAATGGCTGGGGATGTAGCCAGTGGTGGAGTGCACCTGGATTTTTAAAAAAAAGAAAGAAAGAAAGAAAATTTTTTCGAATGACGGAAGTGGTATCTCTTCCATAGATATTTGCATTTGAAATTGTACAGCAGGGAGAAGGAAAAGCTCAGCCCAAGCAAATCAATAATGGAGGGATTATAGAAACCGGAGGAAGATAATTGTGATGGGGAAGGGTCACCTTCAATCATAAAACATTGGCTATGCTCTGGCTGTAGCCAACTCCTCGGGCAGTGGGGAAATCTGGAGAAAGGCAGAGATGTCTAAAACCTGCTTCATCACTTGCTAGCAGTGATGTTACTTAGTCTTTAGGGTGTCAGTTTACATGACTGAAAAATAGGCGTGGTCATACACTCCCCCCATTGCTAGTGGTGGTAGGTAAACACTTCGTGGGACTGAACCCTGGAGGCAGACACCACAGAAACCCCTGTTAGTGATTCTGTCCACCTGCCCTCCATGCTCAGTCTCTGCCGGTCTTTGTCCAGCTCTGGGCCCCAGGAGCCTCATCTCAGAGACAGCTTCCACCAGTTGCCCTGTTCAATTTGCAGGCGGGTTCTGTAGATAGACCCACAAAAATCAGGGGGTGGGAGGACAGGAGGGTCAGGGTGTTTAGTCTGCTGAGGCTCAAGCAATGGCTCAGTTCCCCCTCAAAGGCCAAGAACCTGAAGGGCAGCCCTGTCCTGCAGATGTGGATTTCTCCAGGTTCTGGAAATGTCCCCTCTTTGCCCATGCCAGCCCTCTTGGCAGCTAGCCTAGAGGTCTTCCACCAGCCTCCTTGGTTCCTTGACCCCAGTGCCTCTTTGTGAATAACACCTTCACCTAATCACCTCTTTGGAGACCACCCACTGTTTCCCACCGCCAGGACACTTACCCTAGTCACCACCAGGGGGCAGAAGAGGAAGCTCAGGCCTAGGGAGCTCTGTCGGATGGGGAAGGGGTGCGGGAGCACAGGGCAGCACATTTTTTTCTGCGGTGCATGGGCAAGGCCAGGACCTGTGTGCCCAGCAAAAGTGGAAGACTGGTGAGAAAAAGGCCCCTGGGGGAGCTGGACCCAGGAAGTTCTTTCCTGTGAGCTCTGCAGCTGGAGGGAGAGGCAGGGGAGGCAAGAGGGTCTTCTCAAGTCCCTGAGGCCCAGGGTGAAAGGAGAGTGGGCCCAGGGAGGAGGCTGAAGGCATTGTCACCACTCGGCCTGAGAAGGAAAGGCTTGGAGGCCGGGGACAGGTGGGACAGGTGACCCATCTCTAACTCTAGTAACTTCTGTCTGGGTGGTGGGTGGGAGGGAGCTTCACAGACCAAGGGAACAGGATGAATTCAAGCTGCAGCAGCAGGATGACAGGTAGACATCGGAAGGATCTCATTTCTCTAAAGATGGTGTGATAAGGCCAAGAGCCTTCTCTGAGGAGACCTCTAAAGGAGGTATCTAAGAAGTCTGGAAAAGAAGTATCTGCAGTGGGCAGAGGCTCCAGAAGTCTTCCTGGATTCCAGGTTGGCCTGAGGGTAAGTAGAGACCATGACCCTTTCCACACCGGCAGCCATTTATAAAGCACCGGAAGTATACGCAGATCCCTTAGCATGAGCAGCTCAGTTAATCTCGGGAAGAACGTGTGGTTGTTGAACCATTTTCTAGATGAGACAGATGAGAAGGTAACTTGCCTGAGCGGGGTTCTGATCCGTGCTGCTGACCCTGAAGGCCATACCCTTAGTCCCACACCGTCCGCCTTCGGCTCTAGGTGGCTGTTAAGGGTGCAGACAGCCCTGTACTGTCTCAAAGCCCTACTGATTCTGGGTTCTACATCACTGGAGAACTCAAGGCCCCTGTCTCAGAGCCGTGACAACTGATGCCAATGAGGCAGGCAAGGGCAAGAGCATGGGCCACAGGCCCGGGCATCAGGGTAAAGGCCTTCACTCCCAGCCTAAGGCTATGGCCACGAGAAACGCTCTGACACTGACGTGGAGAACAAGAAGTCTGCATCCCGGGCACTGCTGTTTGGAGCGAGGGCTGGCTGAATTTATTCTGGGAAGGAATGTGAAGGAAACAGGGAGAAAAATCAAAGCGGTCTTGGTTTTTCTCCAGCACCTGCCTTCCAAGAGGCAATAAGCATGGGAAGATCATTATCTCACCAGCCACCCACCCTCGAGGCTTGGCAGGGACAGACTCTCCTTCCCAGGGGGGAGGGAGGAGGAGGGACAGCTTGGGGAGGAGAGTCCCACAGTCCCGATTCCTGTGCTCCAGTGTGGAGATCTGGCTGACCCCTGGGGCAGAGATGGCCGGTGGTCACAGGTCTCTCAGCACATGTTTTGGAACCCATTTTTTAGTCCCTTGTGTCTAGCTGGGGCCCCATGACTAGTTCTTGCCTGTAGAATGTGAATGAAAGTGAGGCTTGTCCAGAGGTGAGGGGAGGTGGTTCAGAGCAGCTTCTCTTCTTCATCCTCCCTTTCCTCACCTGGTGGCCAGTTGCTCAGGAGCTAGGGGGAGATCTCTGAGGCCCTGGGAAAGACTGAGTCAAGATGGCAGGAGCCCAGATCCCTGAATGACTATGTGGGTCCCCCCCACCCCCACTAACCTGGTATGCCCTGAGCAAGAAATAAATCTTTGTGTTAAGCCACTGAGGTGAAAGGATTTTTTGTTATAGCAATTAGCAGTACTTACCCTGACTGTCACAGACCCTCCTAGGTTTGTAATTTTTGTGTCACTAGGGACTGAACCCAGGGACACTCTACTACTAAGTTACATCCTCATCCTTTTTTTATTTTTTATTTGAGACAAGGCCACACTAAGTTGCCCATGCTGGCCTTAAACTTGTAATCCTCTTGTCTCCTGAGTAGCTGGGACTATAGGCACTTGCCATTATGTCCTGTCAACAAACACCCTTGGTTTCATAGATCAGAAGATTGAGGCTCAGGCAGAAGAGTTTGCCAAAAGACAAAGAATGAGTTAAAATTGGGGAGGATTAGATAGAAGGCAAATTCCCAGGATGCTGCATTCTTATGAATAAGCCTGTGCTGATTCCTAACAGATCCTAGGAATCTGGGTATGCGGCTTGGTTCTCATGAACTGGCTTCTTATCCCTGGGAAAGTCACTCAAACTACCTGAGCCTTCTATGTCAAATGAAAAATGGAAAGAAAAGAGTTATGGGGAGGATCAGTTGAGAAAGGGCCCATACATATTAGGTGCTCTTCTTATACTAGGATCAGGATAAATAAAATAATTTCTACATTTATCTTAAGTATATACTCTTCTCACTCCTGGAGATAGTGATATTAGCAACAGTCACTGCCAACATATACTGAGAGCTCACTGTGTCCCCTGCACTGTGCCAAGTGCTTTATACCTAACTCACTTCATACAACCATCCCATGAGATTATGTACTGTTGTCCCTCCTACTTTCGGAGAAAGACCAAGGACCAGAGAGGATAAGCAACCTGTTCTAAGGTCACAAAGCCAACAGTCAGTGAATAAAACTCGGATTCAAACCCAGTCAGTCCAGCTATAGGGCAAACTCTTAGCCAGTGCTGTGGTCTGAATATGGTTTGTCCCCTCCCAAATTCATGTGGAAAGTGAATCCCCATTATGAGATATTAAATGTTGGGACCAGGTGAGGCCAACATAAAGGGATTAACTCATTTATAGGATACATCCACCCTCAAACTCCTATTCATCCACTAGGGCCCAGCTCAGATGGCTTCTGATTCTTCAAGCATTCAACAAGTACATCAGCACAGCTACCAGATGCCAGACCCCAAGATGCCCACTCAAGCTGAGGCTTGAAGGGTTGGGGAGTTCAAAGACATCAAGTCCAGAGGTGGGGGCAGCTTTCCCGCTGAGAGAGAGGCAAGCTCCCGTCTGGGAAGGGACCTGGTGTCTATGAAGAAGCTGAAAGAGCGTGGGTGGGCTGGAGGGTAGAGGTGGTAATGGCCGGTCCCCCTCACCCTTACTAATCATGTGCATCTCTTCCTGACTCCATGTTTATGACTTCATCCTAGCTTGAAATCAACCACTGACCTACATGAGCCCTGGCAAACATTAGGAAGCAAGGTTTTGTTTTCCTTTTCTGCAGTGCTGGCTTACTGTGCAGAGCAGAGGCTGTGGGCCCCCCGGGCTGCTTTCCTAGCTCCTATCTCCCGGCTAGCTCCCGGCCTAGCTCCCGGCTGCAGCCTCAGCCCCCACCACCCCAGACCATGAACACAAGCTGCCTCTTACCATGTCTGTTTGCCCAGTGGCCTAGTGTTCCAGTAAGGGGTTAGGAAAATGCTCGCTAGAAGTAATGAACTCCTGAGATTCTTGACCTCTCGAAAGATGAGACTAACCGGCCTGAGGGATTCCTCCTGCCCACTGGACTCCTTCAGATTCTCCTTATGCAGATGGAGCTAGTATATGGTGGCATCAACAGACTATTTCTCTCCCAAATAGAAAACATTTAGATCTGGCAACAGGCGAGGTGGGAAAGTGAGTGCAATCAGTGGGAACCAGCCCAGTGGAGGAGAAGTGGGGGATGGAGCAGGGGCATAATATATAGCCTTGCTCAGCCCTAGACCACAGGCATCACCCTATTACTTCGTTTAGACCTCAGAGTGACAGCTCAGTGGAGTGGCAGGTGGCTTAGGGACTCTGAAATGAGGCAATCCTATTCCTAAATCCTGACATTGCCCCTTGAAAGAGTTTATATGACCTTGGCAGGCGACTTCACCTCCCTGTGTGCCAGTTTCCACATCTGTAAAGTGGAGATAATAGAAAGCGCTGTAAGGGCTGTTGAGAGGATTAAATGAGCGACTGGATGGAGTGCAGGGCTGAGCGCAGTGCCTGACGCACAGTTTCCAGTTCATATTAGCTATCAATCATCAGGCAACATGCCCCGGGACTACAGGCTGGAGAAGAGCAGAGTGACTCTCTGGCTACCAGGTCTGCAAGGGGCACCGCTGAGATCTGGACACAGGCTGCTGGAATCCGCAGCCCCTGCCTACCTGACTGCCTCCCGAAGACAGGAGCTAAAAAAGAGAGCTCACTGTGGGCCCCGGGGTGGGGGGGGGGAAGGGGGCTGATTGAGAGGGTGCCTTTGAAAACCCTCTGCTGCTGAAAGCATAGCATGGCTGTGACTGGACCAGGTCACAAGTATCAGTAGAGAGAGCAGAGCCTGGACTCCTGCCAGTGTTGGGCTGGGGAAGGGGAAGGGGAAGAAGGGGAGGGCGCATGCAGGGCTGCAGTGGTCAGCAATGGGAGGCTCCCCTGATGGGTCCCCCTGGAAGAACCACCGAGCCAGGCACTTGCAGAAAACTGGTGTGCAGATGTTTCCAGGTCTCTGGTGCCAGAGGTCTGGCAGGCTGATCTTCCCAGGCTGCATTCAGAGCTCTCTTGCCCTCTGGGTTTGTTCTGGGCTTTGGACATGGGAGACACTGGCAGGGAACCAGTGGGCAGGAAAGAGAAGGGGCTATTTATTTTGCCTTTGGGCCCTTGCCCTGCTCTGGTTTCATCTGGGGGCCTTGTCCCTCTGTGACTACAGCTCCTGTCAGGGACCTCAGCTCAAAAGCAGACTCCCATTCTTCCCACGATGGCTGCAAACCTAAGGTGGTGATGGCCCTCTGTTTCTCTGTCCATGCCTGGGCTTCCACATGGGCTCCTGTTGAGGGGTTTTCCTCTCAAGCTCCTGCTGCGTGTGCTTTCCTACCAGGAGCTTCACTGACACACCTGTTCTGTGACAAGACAGGACACCCCCGAGACAGGACCAAACTGAAAATCCTGAGGCCTGACGGTGCTGAGACGTTTCACACGTGTGTTCCCTTGTGCTATTAGCAGCAATAGATAAAGAATGAGTAAGTACAGACGTCAATTGCCGTAATAAATCATTTGTCAGATGTGCTTCTGCAGGGCAGGGTTGAAGCTCCATTTTAGTGTGATAGGTCTATAAATAATAGTGCACGCTTCAGCAGCCCAAGCTCTCAAACCCCTTCCCCAGACACCCACACGTGTTGGCTTAGGCTATTACAGCTTGAAGGGGCCTCAGAGATGATCGCCTTTAATCACCCCAAATCACTCTGAGCTTCTATGGCAAGGTTCTAACTGTAGCCCACATGTCCCCTGACCCACACCCAGGGCTCTGTCTGCTTTACCTCTACTTCACTTTGGCTTGTCCCTTGTTATCTACGGGGGATGGATTTCAGAAGTCCTCATAGATGCCCAAATCCATGGCATGATAGGGCTGACGATAGAGCTTAGTGGTAGAGCACTTGCCTAGCATGAGCAAGGCTCTGGGTTCAATCACCGGTACCAGAAAAAAAAAAAAAAGGCATTGCACATTGCAATATGCACATTGCCCCACATGCTTTAAGTCAGATCTAGATTGCTTACAATATATAATACCATGTGCTATGTAAATAGTTGCTATCCTATAACTAGAAAAATGTGATTATTAAAAAAAATGTATTTGGGAGGGTACTGGGGATTGTAAACCCAGGGGTGCTTTACCACTGAGCTACATCTTTGGTCCTTTTACTTGTTTAAATTTTGGGACAGGGTCTTTGCTAAGTGGTTGAGGTCTCTCTAGATTGCCCAGGCTGGCTTTAAACTTGGGATCCTCCTGCCTCAGCTGCCTGAGGTGCTAGGATTATAGGATTATACACCACCATACCTTGCTGTATTTTTCAAATATGTTTAATCCATATTTGGTTGAATCCATGGACATGGAACCCATGGATACGAGGGACAACTATATTCTTCTGTACGGACAGTTTTGTCATTTAGGTTCAGATCGAGCATTCCTACTAGAATAAAAATCCCTTCATCATAGCAACTGCCCTGTTTCACAATGTATCAGCCCCAAAGCTCAGGATGTGACATAATCTGGAAGTTGGAAGAGCACTGTACAGTCCTCCCCACATTATCTGCAAGGGGTTTCCCTCATGACGTCTGAATACGTCCTGCACAAGAAACCCAATGCGTGACCTCCAGGGGCAGCCAGATTTTAGCTTTGGATGGCTCCCCACCTTGCAAGTGCTTCCCCATGCTGAGCTGACATTTGCAGCAGTCAGCAGTCAATAAGTGTTTGCTGAATGGAGAAGGATTTTATCATGGTGTACAAATCCCTCAGAAGCTCCCAGACATCTGTTTGGAAATGATCTATCCTCCCCTAGAGTGGTGGAAACCACTTCCTGAAGTGGGGACATGAAACTGTTACTGCAGCAGGAAAAACAGCAACAAACTTGCGGGATCAGGGTTTGACTTGCAAGGGAAAACTCAGGCCTGGAATTCGGGTTTCCAAGTGAAGGAGCTGGTGTTCTCAGCAAAGCTTTGCCTGTGGGAAGTAATTTTGCCAGCTGAAATACACTTTTACAGTTGATATTGCACTGATAGGAAAATATCTCCTGGCAGACTCACTGCATCTGGGATGGGGCCACATCCATAGAGCCAGCTGGGACTCCTCCCCTTAGAGAAGGGACCAGAGCCAAGTTTATTTATTTGTAGTCTAGGGACCTAATCAACCTCCAAGGCAGACATTTAAAAAGTTGTTTTGTTGATTTTTAAAAAATGTATTGCTATTAATTTATCCTTAATTTATAAGGCAAGGACAGATAATGGACATGGAGCCAGCAGCTGTACTTGAGAACGACAT